TAGCAGAGACGAGGTTTATTCCTGTTGGTCAGGCTGGTCTCGAACTCCCCACCTCAGGTGGTCCACCCAACCCGGCCTCCCAAAGTGCTGGGATTACAGGCATGAGCCACTGCGCCCAGCCTAATTTTTGTATTTTTAGGAGAGATGGGGAGGGTTTCGCCATATTGGCCAGGCTGGTCTCGAACTCCTGATCTTGTGATCTGCCCACCTTAGGTTCCCAAAGTGCTGGGATTACAGGCGTGAGCTATGGCACCCAGCCAACCTGCAGGAAACTTAAATGCATACTACTAAGTGTAGGAAGCCAATCTGAAGAGGCTGCATGCTGTATGATTCCAACTAATGCATGTGACTTTCTGGAAAAGGCAAAACTATGGAGACAGTAAGAAGATCATTGACTACCAGGGGCTAGGGAGGGAGGGAGGGATGAAGAACTGAACCACAGCGGATATTTAGGGCAGTGAAAATACTCTGGGCTGGGCACACTCACTTGTTTGTAATCCCATCACTTTAGGAGGCCGAGGTGGGAGCATTGCTTGAGCTTAGGAGTACGAGGCCAGCTTGGGAAACATAGTGAGACCCCCGTCTCTACAAAAAACATAAAAATTAGTGGGGCATGTTGATGTACGCCTGTGGTCCCAGCTACGTGGGAGGCTGAGCTGGGAGGACCACCTAATCCCGGGAGGCAAAGGTGGGAGGGAGCCATGACTGCACCACTCCACTCCAGCCTGAGAAATACAGAGACCCTGTCTCAAGAAAAACAAAACAACAAAAAAGAGAAAATACTCTGTATGATACTATGATGCTGGACACACATAATCATACATTTGTCCAAACTCACAGAATGTACAACACTGAGAGTAAACCCTAATGTAAACTGTGGACTCTGGCTGATGATGATGTGTCAATGTAGGTTCATCAATTGCAACATAGGTACCACTCTGGTGGGGGCCATTGACAATGGGGGAGGCTGTATGTGTCGGGGGTCAAGGGGGTATAAGGGAAATCT